CACGTTTAGGACAATTCACATGCTAATTATGTTAGAAAAATATAGCATATTATTTCACTTTTTTATCTTCTTAAAAAGTGAAAAAAAAAACTTAAAAAGTGACCAAAAACTAAAAAAAGTGACAAAATCTAAAAAATTGACAAAATGTCACTTTTATAAAATTGACGAGTCACTTGACATCTCTAGATGGTATTGCATAAAACTAAGTGACACAATCTTTTTGTTAGTAAAAAAAGTTACCAAAAAACCAAAAAAGTAATAGAAAAAATGAAACACTATAAAAAGTGACCGAAACTCAAAAAAGATGGCATGATTTAAAAAAAAAAGTGACAAACATTAAAAAACATTGCCTTTGTTTAGACATGCTTGAAAAGGCAATTAAAACTGCATAGATGAAAAAAACCCACAAGTCAAATATTTTGTACGGCAAAATCGAAGATGCTCTTCATACTCTAACAATGCTACTAAATTTGCTTCTATAGGGGATTTGTTTGGAGCAAAAAAGCCCCTTTGACATCTCAAGTTACTACCAAAATATATGTTTGTCGACAAGATACAAAATCCAAAACTGTACACGAACTATGCTTATAGAGATTAATTCATTGAACCATTGCGCAAACTCTACATGCAAAAAGCTCAAAAATCAAGAGATATTAAGTAGCTGGACATGTTTATATGCAGCAACAGACAGTACTAAACCAATTAATTCTTGTTTTCCAATAATTTTAACAAAAACCCTATAATCATGAACCATAATGAGACGCAACAAGCATTCATACAAACTAATTCATCAATCCAATAAACCATTAAAAACATGATAAGCAAGTGGCAAAAAGAACCAAAACAATATCTCTGTTTGCAGCTGCCCACTCCTTATATTTGTTGGAATTCCAACAATATTGCTTTAAGAACATCTCATACCTCTCCAAGCACATATCCCTGGTATCCCTCTCCACCATTTCCTCCACCTTATCATAATCCACTCTCATTGAGGTTTTCCTGCCTCATATCTGGTTAGTGAACCTTCTATCTTGGTTCCCAAATATACGAGCTAAACCAAAATCAGCCAGTTAAAGATGTCTATCTACTCTAATTAACAAGCTGGGTTTCATATCCCTGTTCACAAGTCGAACGAGATGAAAGTAAATGGGTTAAGAAGCTGGATTCCATAACACAGTGAGCTTAGATTAAGAAGTTGCAGCTACGGGAGGCAAACAAGATGCCTCTTGGAAGAACTTGGGAGGAGAATAAGTTTCTCAAGTTCATACCGATTTTCAACCTCCTCTT